TAATCCGTGAAACCCAACCCGTGTACGAACCGTATACGTTCGATGTACGATCCCCATGTGTTCATACAGGTAACGTATAAGGTTCGTATGTAGTCAGTGTATGATCTGTCCGCTACATACGATCCGTATGTAGACGATGTTGCGTTCCGGTACATACGCTGCGTATGTATGCCTGACGTAAATCGTACACATTTGTACAGACCGCGTACCTACGTATACGTCCCGTGTACTCCATTGCGGCAGACCGGAACACCTCACGAACAGATGAGCCCAGCTTTAAATTCCATATGGAATTCCTGTTAATTTCCAGATGGATCTGGTTTTTCCATATGGAATCTCGTTTCCACAATGGAATTTGGTATGGAATAATTTTCCGGTATGGATTTGTGAAAATCCACTATGGAACTTGATCTGGAATATTTTCCACTGTGGATTTGTGATTTTCCACTATGGATTACTGATTTTCCATTATGGATTATTTTCCATTATGGTCGGCTGCATTTTTTCCACTATGGATTTGCAAATTAAATCATAACTTTTTAACTAAGTGTAACACAGAAATTCTGACTGAAGCACTGCGAATAATACGTCGAAATGTTCACTCTTTGATTGAAAAGTAAAAATCGCGATTCTCAACTCGGCTGTATCTTCGTAACAAGTTGTCGAATCGAAAATCTGACCGCATATTTGGCGTTTTTAGCGAAAGTTTACATGGGGACGGTGTTCTTTCACTTAAACAAGCAGCTTGGTGATTGATGCTACTCCATGCTGGTTTCACAATCCAGATGGATTTCACTATCCATATGGATTTGTGTTACATATGGAAAATTTTCCACAGCAGGAAATATCCATAGTACAAAATTCCACTCTGGAAAGTGTTCCAAATTACATCTGGAATATAATCCATATGGAAATTTAACAAAATCCAGACAGGTATTTTCCATACTAGAAATCCATCTGGAATTTAAAGCTGGGAGGTTGTCATATGTGTTCTGTATGTACTCGTGCAGAACATATGTTCGAGCCGCATCTCAATGAGTGGCAGGTGTTGTACGTATTCCGTATTCCAACAATTTACTGCCAGTGAATTGCCTCTAGATGGCACTGCAGTCAGCGCGTCTCCACCTTAATACGTTTTTGTTTTAAATGAGAGTTTTTTTAAGGCACAGGCTTTTAATTTTGCGCAGAATGTTTTCTTCAACATTTGTCTTGTCCTCACCGACTACGTGTGACATTTATTCTGTATTTAACCATATTCTAGAGGTAAGTGGTTAATTTTTAACACTCGGTGGTCCCGACTACGACGTCTTGGTGATATAATTTTCGGAACGGGATGGGAGGGGTTCCACGGTGCAATTAGTGGTACTGGATAAACAAACCTGAATAAAGCTCATGTGCACGGCGTTTCTGTTTTGCACTGAAAATTACTCTACGTAACAAAATACAAAATATTTACGTAACACCATTCTACGTTCAAGTGATGGTATAACTGCTGTTACACAAACTTATTTACGTAACAAATGTTACTGAAAATACTTTGCGTATCAAATTTTATACCAACTGCTTTACGTAACAAAAGTTACGCTATCCACACTCAAAACACCGATTGTTCAACTCAACTACATTTAGTGTTGAGGAAACCAACGAAATGTTGTTTCCGTCGACCAAATTTCAATCGTGTTGATTGGATAATTCTGTCAGGTCGATATAAAGTAATCAGTTTGACAATATTTTTGGTTGGGCTGGTCACATTTAATTGTAAAAGCTTGATTAAACGTTTTGTTGGATATAGGGAGTAAATTTTGTTTCTTTCAACACAAATTTAGTCATACGGACTAATAGCTTCTCTCAGTGCACTGTAAGAAACAAGCCACAATACCTCACATATGTTACAGAATCTACTTTGCTAATATCCAGTTAATTTAACAAATGTTATTAATACCATTGACACTAGCTACGCCTAGCATATCCCTCACATTAACTTCTGAAAAAGAAACCTGCAGGCCACATATAAATAAACTGTTCACAAGAGTAAGACCGTTTTGAGTTCCTCTCAGCTGTTTAGTACTCTCAATGCACCCTCCTTAACCCTACCAAGGCTGAGGAGGCGCTTAGCCTTTACCTGGTCCGTTGACATTGCTTCATAATGTTTTTAGGTGCCTTCTTATGTTGTGACAAGATGTTGACCTAACCTCTCGCCGCCGATATGCAAGCTCCCTCTGTAAAGCAGTCGGCCCACGACCATAGTGCGCACTCTGGGTTACTTGAACATGGATATCTGGATCAATGCACTTTATGTGCACTTTAATGCACTCCTTGCTGTTTCTACCTTTGTGTTCAATCTGTACGAATTGAACGATTTTGGGTGAACGGTTCGAAAATTTCAAAAAGACTTCGGACAGATTTGTTTCTTATACCTTTAAGAACAACTTGCACGCTTCTTTCACAAAATGCCCTTTTTTTTCCACGCACCTCGGCCACTAGTAGGTATGGCGGCGTTCACATCCGTTAAGCGTCGGGACTATGAGCGCTGAGGCCATATTTTTGGAACAGTGGACTCTCTGCTACCACCTACCCGCGTCGTTTTAGTAGGAATGGCGTGAAGATCTACGCTTGTCTAAAAATCTAAACACATACGTTACACATGCGGCGCGTATGCTTTGCGTTTACGTTGCGTACACGTACAGGTCTCTCAGGCACATACGTGTCCGAGGGGTGTCCGAGGGCGGCTCCTGTGTACAGGCCAAAATGTACTCCAGGTGTTCTCCGATTGTACTCCGACTGTACCGGGTGTAACTGACAAGGGAAGGTTTTCCGGTGATACACTCAGATTTCAATGGCGCTTCATAGTGTTGTTGTTTTCATCCCTAGATTAGGTTTTGCATTGGTTTTAGCTGCCCGTAGGGAGTTTGAAGGTCGTTTTACGCGAATGTTATCGAAAATTCGCCAAACTTTTTAGCCTGATTATCAACTTTACATGCACGTATCTCAAGAACCGTTTGAGCTTCAGCGCCCAGATTTTGAGAGAACACTGAATTTGGATTTGTGTTAAATTAACCCTCATTTCTGCCATAACTCGTTTTTTGTGATTCCTTCGATTTATCGCTTTTCTGGACATGATAACTTTTTATCGCAAAAAAACATGCAATAAAAAGTATATGGGAAATTTATCACAAAAATAATGTGATAACTTACTATCGCAAGTTTTTGTGATAAACGTAAATACTAGCTCCTGTTTTACACTAAACTAAAGTTATCATATTATTTTTGTGATAACTTGCCCTTATACTTTTCATTGCATGTTCTTTTGTGATAAAAAGTTATCATGTCTATTAAAGCGATAAATCAGAGGAATCACAAAATTGAGTTATCGCAAACTTTTGTGATAAAAGTATCATAGATCTAGATTCAGTGAAATCATAATTTAGCACGTTCTTTAATTGTAGAAAATTTGAACGAAATCGATTAGGGTCGCAAAGACGGGTCCGGAGAAGGGGTTGCGACCCTAGCCCACTTTTGGTGAACCCCATTGATTTGGTTCGAATATATTTCATGGAAAGTACTGATTGAAGGATAATTACCTGCAAAATCTGGGCGCTGTAGCTCGTAACGGTTTCGCGCTGTAACGGTTTCGGAGATATGTGCATGCAAAGATGTCTAAAAACCGATGAATTTGTTAAATTTTTGATGAAGTTCTTGTGAAATGACCCCCAAACTCCCTACGGGCAGCTAAAACCAGTGCCAATCCTAATCTAGAGGTGCAAACAACTACTCTTTAAAGTGCCTTTGAAATCTGACTGTATCACCGGAAAACCTTCCCCTGTGAGAATGCGCAACAGTGTTGCGGGTTTGCCTACCCAGTTAGCCCGTAAGGCGCCATGGCCCCTGCAGCCCTGGCGGGTATGCAATCCCGCAACACTGTTGCGCATTCTCAGTTACACCCGGTACTCCGTGTGCTCCGGCTGTTTTTGTTGCAAGTTCTCCGCGTACTCTGACTGTACTCCAGGTGTACTCCAGGTGTACTCTGCGCGCTCCGACCGGCAATACTCAGTGTTCTCCGACTGTACTCCGTGTACTTCGTACTCCTGTGTACATGAAAAATTCAAGTCGCCCACCCCTCATACGTGTCCCACATACAATTTGTATACAATTTGTATATTGAATCTATCCGGCCACATATATTGGGAACGTGTACTGATAGCCGTACACGGAGTGTATACGAGGTGTTATCACGGGGAGTAGCCCAGTGCGCCCATCGGGCGGGTAAGTTTCATAGCCCCGTGGGCTTGTCAATCAACACTCCCATTGGGCAGGGAATTTTGACAACCCTGGGCTTCATGTGTGGGGTTGCCAAGCCCAGGGTAGGTAAAATCGCAAGTATTTTTTTTATAGTGTGGACTATACTAATGTGTGACGGGGTGTTCACGTGCGCAATGCACTCTTGACTACAAAGTTGGGCGAACGGGTTGATGTCTAAAACGGAAGAAGAATCTGACCTATAAGAAACAGTTTTTAGACGATCCAATCTATACCAGCAGGGTTGGCGCGCGGGGGAGCTGTGCGTTATGTATGATCGTCCCCTGTGTCAGCAAAGACGGACTACAACAACGCACAAGGCCGGGAATGTCAGAACAAAGAGTCGTAACGACTCCAGTTCTAGAAAGCAATAACTTATTTAATTAGTAGCAATAATTTTGTACTAGATTTTCTTTTATTCCGATCGTCTATTTGTTAACACGGAGTGTTAACGTTTTTTTCATTATTTCACTTTTGGCATGTCACAAATTATCCGTCACAAGATTGTTACTTTATCACGTGACGAATTATTTGTAAATGGTCTGTGCCGACATATATGTGAAAATGACTTAGGAGAGAAAAAATTGTGAAGTGACGACTAATATTTTTACAATGTATTATGATATGACTTGATTTACGAAAACACCCCGCCGTTTCTCAAATTCATTTACTGCTAGGAAGGAACACGTAGAATTTGCTTCACGATTACGAAGAAATCCATCCCCAGGTGACCATATCTTCGATAACGTCTGCAACATGTTTCTTAAACTTCGGCGTAGCTTTGAGGCGAACCGTTCTCTGTTAAAAGGATCAAAAAAGGGATTGTCATTGTTTCACCGTAGTTTGTTAACTTAAACAACGATAAAACCTCATTCGTTTGTCTTATCTCTCATCGTTTAGGCGATAAAGAGTTTATCACACCACTGTGAAAAATAGAAGTAGGTTTACAGGAAAATTTTCCTTGACGCAAGTTGTAAAACTACAATGTGTAATCATAAAAGTACTTGCAGTACGTATCGACTTCAAATCGATTGGAGAGTAAACAAGCTAGGCCCGCTCTTCCGCCAAACCAAGTTGCCAGCTCCGCTTTGCTCCACCGGCAACTCGGTTCGGCAGGGAGCGGGCCTAGCTTGGCCTGCCGGCGGCGTTTGGCCCGTCCCTTCTGATTTTTCATGGTGAAATTAACACTAGAAGGACCGGAGGGGTCAAAATGACCCCTTTTGATTTTTTATTGCCAAAGGAACAACGAATTATTTTTTTGATCGATCCATCACTTTCCGACTTTTCATGTACTACCGAAAGACGCTTGGACGCAGTATAGGAGGTCTCTGCGACATGAACTTTCGGAGATATTACTACTTATACCTAGAAGGACCGAGGGGGTCATTTTGACCCCTTCTTGAGATTTTATATGTGTAAACTGACGAGGACTTACTTTTCCACCATTAGGCTGACCGTATTTGTTATGTACGGTGGCTTATGACTTTTGGTCGGCCATGTGACACTTTTTAACTCCTTCATTCGGCGGAGGTAGGCAACACGCACGTCACAAAACCCCGTTTCTAAATTACAACATATCCGAGGCTTTAGTGGTAGTTGCGTCACCGGACTCGAGTTCTGATGGCAAAGGGGGGCGTCTAGCACAAAGTACGGATGGTTTTGCGAATGCCAAAACTGCCACGTCAGTGCCAAATAGGAAAAAATGTAATGTTTTTGTGTGAATCACATTCCCGCTTTTAGAGTACTTATGTGTTCCGAAGATTACGTACTTATAAATGAGTACTAAGTCAGATATTAATTTTGAAGTTTAAAAATGTCTAAAATAGTGCGAACAATTGCCAGAAATAGCTGTAAAATTGCAAAAAAAAATGTTTTCTGTCGTGCGGGTTGCCTACCTAAACGCACTTTAAACCCAACCAATGTCACGTCATGGCATCAGGTACCTTGAAACACACAAAACCTTAATAATGTGCGATTAAACGGGAGCCTCGAAGCCATGAAAACAGCCAACAATCGTAGAGGGGTCAAAATGACCCCTCCGGTCCTTCTAGGTATACGAAAATCCCGGTTCTTCTAGTGTTAAGCTTCGATCGGAAAACGGGCCTTCGGCCCGTTTGAGTGGCGGCTCGCTATGAACCATTTTTTGGCAGGTACCTTTGCTGTCTACTTCGTAATCAAAACTCAACAAACGAAGCATTCTTTTCATACGCTGAACATCTTTGGCTGTGTGTGCCGCAGTTTGTAGAATACTTGCAAAGTTATGCCAAATCCCTTCTTAGTTTTTGATGTTAGTTTATAGATCCAATAACACACCTATGAAAAGATATTTAAGACTAAACCCAGAAGAAGTTAAATATACTTCCAGTCATACTCTGAAATAACTCCGAACGTGTCCGCAATGATTTCGCTATAATCACTGATAGAACGGACGCGGCTTGTGAAGTACAACAAAACAACAAAATAAACGTATTTTTTTGCATGGGAGTGTACACATTTTATTAATGATGTGCCACCATAAAATAAGCCCACTCTTCTGCTTAGAAGAAAATTTTAAACCGACGGCATACTTCTCAGACATAAGTGTACTCCTGAAAAAAATAAAAAAGGTTCTGTTTTGGCCATTTCGGTAAGAAAAATTCCATTTTTTAAGTAAACAGTGAAAGCCAAGCGGACGACATTCTAGCCCAGAGGGTCTACTTTCACGATTCACCCCTTTGGACACCATCAAATATTTTCTTAAAGTAATATATTTATTTAGGGCCACTTCTGTGAGAAAAACTCCCTCTAGCGCCTGAACGGTGAGAGATAGAGCCAAACGGACAGAATTTTCGCCCATAGGGCTCTACTTTAGTAAGTTACCGCTTCAGAGACCATCAATTTTGGGCCACTTTTGTGAGACAAACTCCCTCTAGCGCCTAAACGGTGTGAGATACCAAACGGACAGAATTTTCGCCCCGGAACTACTTTTGAAGGTTACCCTTTAAGAGACCATCAAATATATTGCAAAATTCATGTTTTTAGTTTTGGGCCACTTTTGTGAGAGAAACTCCCTATAGCGCCTAAACGGTGAGAGATAGAGCCAAACGGAAGAAATTTTCGCCCGAAGGGCTTCACTTTCATAAGTTACCCCTAAGGAGACAATAAAAAAAATATTTTTTTCCCACTTCTTGGACCAACCCCTATTTCTTTGTTACCCCCTAAGACCCACTCAGGGGTGGTTGCCAGGATTTGCACCAACCGTTTCGTTGTCCAGAAGTGACAACAATAATACCCTGAAAATTTCAGACCTCTAGCTTACGTCCTTCTTGGGGAACAGACAGACAGACAGACACAAGGGCGATGGCATTAGCCCGCTTCTATAGCTTTTAAGCAAAAGAGCGGGCTAAAAATGTGCTCTCGTAAATTTACGAGATAAATTATAATTCAAGTTTACAAATTTTTTGTAAATTTACGACGAAATTTTTCACAGTGACTAAAGTGACCGAAAACACAATAAAATCCATTCCTTAGAAACTGTTTTATGGCTTACGCAGGGGTAATTCGTCAAAGCAGACCCCTTTGCAACGAATTTTCGTCTGCTTGGCTCTACCTTTACTGCTTAAGGTGGGAAATACCTGTTGAACGTTAGAACTTAACCTGTTCTTAGCCCGCCCTTCTGCTTTTAAAAAAGCATTAAAGCGGGCTTATGCAACCGCTCTCGTGTCCGTCCGTCTGTCCGTCGTCCGTGGACTCTATCCTAGCTTGCACCGTTTGGGCGCTAGACTGATTTTTAAAAACCCCACCTGGCCCGATCAATGTCAGGACTAGCCGTAAACATAAGTTAGTCTGTCGTCTTCAAAGTCCGTATATTTATTTAATTTTCCGGAAAACCAGACTCGAGCGCCAATAAATTGAAAGTGTTCCGGATTATACTAAAAAAGCCTCTTCCAATGGTATAGAAAGGTGACTTATCGGCTCTGAGTCACTGTTCTATACTATTACCCTAAGAGAAAATAGACGTCTATTAGATGTTTAATAGACATCTACTGCTAGACGGCAATTTGTCTAATAGACGTCTTCGGTAGACGTCTATTAGACCGTCTTGATTGTCTCTATCGAGGCATCTTTTAGACGTCTATCAGTAGACGTCTATATTTAGATGCCTTTTAGATGACATCTAG